TCAGCAATTCATCCTGTACAATTTCTTAATCTGGATAGAAGCATGGTTACCAACTCTTGCAAGGCACAAACAGTGAGGAGAATAGTTGAAACCTAGCGAGAGAAATGTCCTTGTTCAAGCTGATTGTTCTGTTGCTGCTTTTGGCTCCTGTTTATGGAGATGGCATGAGATGGGAGAATAACCTTGACGCAGATGGCGATTGCTGACATTAACAACATTAACAGAGAAGGAATTCTGAGAACAGATTTCATCAGAGCTAGCGTAGCTGTGATCCACTATGGCGCTGTGCTGATGTGTTTTCCTGAACCAGATGAGTTATAAAATGAAGAGCTTTGAGAGCTCAAAAGCAGGCAAAGGAGATCTAACTCTGCTATCATGGCACCATAATACACATCGTTTATATCGTTAATATAAGATGGTTAAAAACCAAGAAAGTTAGTCAAAATAGGATTCATCGCCTAAAAAGTACATGGTAACCATGGGAACGAGTGTTTATGGTATGCTTACCAACATGAAGACTTTAATTTATCAGTATATCTAGATGATTGACATACTCTTCTTTGTATTGGCAATACATATACCTACTTTTAACCATTATTAAGACGTGAGGCCATTGAAACAATCTTATCATATTTTTAATATATGGAATATTGATGCCAAAGCAAGGGTTATGACGTCATAATGTATATGTAAATATAAAGCTAATTAACATAATTTATGCAGGATGTGAAAGAACTTATTATTACGCTTCTTCTGATACCAATAATACTAAAATTACTTAAAAATAAAGAAAGTTACAGTCCAAAATGTTTTTATTGACTAAATTGCTGAAAAGTTCACGGTAACCATGGCAACGAGTTTTTATGTTATTCTAACTAACATGCAGCCTTCAATATCAGTATATCCGAAAAGCCGACATACTCTTGCTTGTATTGGCACCGCATTTACCTACTTTCATCCATTTTCAAGAAGTTTAACTAATAAAACACTGTTATTTTATTGTAAATATATGGAAAATGGAGGCCAAAAGAAGGGCTATGACGTCATAATGATACGTAAATGAGCCAATTAACATAATTTATGCTTACGGCGAAAGAACTTATTATTTCACTTCTTCTGATACCAATAATGCTAAGATTGCTTAAAAACAAAGAAAGTTACAGTCCAAAAAGTATTTATTGCCTAAATTCCTGAAAAGTTCACAGTAACCATGGAAACGAGATTTTATGATATTCTATCCAACATGCAACCTTCAATATCAGTATATCCAAAAAGCTGACATACTCTTGCTTGTATTGGCACTGTATTTACCAACGTTCATCCATTCTAAGAAGTTTAACTAATAAAACACTGTTATTTTATTGTAAATATATGGAAAATCGAGGCCAAAATAAGGGCTATGACGTCACAATGGATATGCAAATGAGCCAATTAACATAATTTATGCTTGCGGTGAAAGAACTTATTATTTCGCTTCTTCTGATACCAATAATGCTAAGATTGCTTAAAAACAAAGAAAGTTACAGTCCAAAACGTTTTATTGCCTAAATTACTGAAAAGTTCACGGTAACCATGGCAACGAGTTTTTATGTTATTCTAACCAACATGCAGCCTTCAATATCAGTATATCCGAAAAGCCGACATACTCTTGCTTGTATTGGCACTATATTTACCTACTTTTATCCATTTTTAAGAAGTGTAACTAATAAAACACTGTTACTTTGTTGTAACTATATGGAAAATTGAGGCCAAAAGAAGGGTTATGACGTCATAATTGATATGCAAATGAGCGAATTAACATTATTTATGCTTGAGGTGAAAGAACTCATTATTACGCTTCAGCAGATACCAATAATGTGAAGATTTGTTAAAAATCGAGAAAGTTACAGTCTTAAATGTATTAACCACCAAGTAAGAAATTTAAAAAGTGGGCGTGGCTTTTGCGTCTCGTTTCCATAGTGATCGGCCATTTTTCAATTTTTATTATTGTCATTTTTGAAATCTACATATTCATATTATGATAGTCAGGTATGACTCATGCGGTTGCAAGCTATCTTAATTAAGGTCAACAAATAAGGCCTTTTTGCTGGATCTCCCACTCGCCTATAAGTTGCTTTATTTTGTCAAAAGCAGCTTGCTGTGCACTATCCCAAGCGAATACGGTATCTTTCCGCAATAAAACATGCAGCGGTGCAGCGACAGTAGACATATTAGGAACAAACTTACCTAAATAATTTACCATTCCTAAAAAGCGTCTTACAGCTGATTTATCTTCCGGTCGCTTAATTTTACATATTGCGCGTACCTTATCTTCGGTAGGACTTATCCCCTTCGCTGAAATTTTTAGCCCGAAAAATATAACTTCCTTTTGAGCGAACTTGCATTTACACTGATTGAGTTTTATACCATATTCTTTTATAGTAGCCAAAACCGCAGCTAATCGCGTATCATGCTCCTCTTTATCTTTACCGTGAACTATCATGTCATCGATTATGATTTCTACACCGGCATGATTTTTAAATATATCCATCATTACACTTTGATATTTCTCACTCGCAAAATTCAACCCAAACGGCATGCGTAAGTATCTATACCGCCCGAATGGTGTAATAAAAGTTGTGAGTTTCGAACTATTCTCATCGAGCCGCAAACCATGAAAACTACTTGAAGCATCTAATGTAGAGAATACGGTAGATCTTTTAAGTTTATGCACAAGATCATCAGTAGTTGGAAGAACAAACTTTTCTCTTTTTATGCTAGCATTAAGTTTTCTCAAGTCAACACATATTCTAGGCTCAGAATCATTTTTCTTTTCTGCACATACAATAGGAGCACACCAATCAACAGGCTCTGTTACTGGTGTTATGACACCTTGTTCACACAATTTATTCAACTTAGCCTTGACCTTAGGCATCAAAGGTAAACTTACACGTCTTGGTGCAGAAATACTATAAGGCTGTGCATTAGGTTTCAATGTAATGGAAACAGGATTACATTTTACATCCCCAATTTCCCCATACATGCTAGGATCTTTGATATCCAGGTTATTCAAACGTTTCATGAGACCCATACTTGTAGCAGCCCCCCTGGATAACAAATTAGCTGAATTTGAGCTATCAACTACATGAATTGTTGTTTTGTACACTTTACTACCATTGAATACAACCCTAGCAACAAATGCTCCTATGCACTTAACTTTACCCCCAGGGCTCTGAAATTTTGCAGTAGGTTTACTTAGCACTGGACGGTTAATTTTCATTCTTTTGTATGCATCTACAGAAATAACCGAAGCATCAGCACCACTATCAATTTTAAAACACATGTTTCCACCATTTATATTTAGATTAATCAACCATGGTGGTTCTTCGACCACTTCATGTACTTCATCAATATCACACATATCATTATCTACACAGGTATCCTGTTGCATGTTATCAATATCATATATAATATCTGGTGATGGTGAACTATCATTGTGACATATAACATCATCACAATCACATATCATAGTAACAGGATCACACGAATGATTAGCTGGATCACACGAATGATTAGCTGGATCACACAACTGTGTATCTGGATCGCACACTTGTATAGCTGGATCAAACGATTGTATAAATGTAGACGTATCATATGATTGTGTATCTGGATCGCACACTTGTATATCTGGATCACACGATTGTATAAATGTAGATGTATCGCATGATTGTGTATCTGTGACCAAGTCACTCAGGAACAAACAGTCAGTATCATCAGACCCATAATCATCATGGACATGTTCAACTTCATGCAATTTCTTTTTGTCATGTTTTATATCAATTGTCTTGCAGCAGCGTTTGAAGTGATTCATTAATCCACACTTTAGACAGTTTTTGCCATATGCAGGACACTCTCTCTTCTTATGAGATAGTCCACATTTTGTACATTTAAACTTACTGCCATAGTCCTTCTTTGACTTGACACGACCCCTCCTGGTGACGTCATTGACATGCGGGGTTTCCAATTGTGTATGCACGGGTGCGACATGCTCCCTTATTCGCGCCATTTCGATAACTTTCGCAAGTGTCAGCTTTTTATAGTCCATAATTTTGACTTTCTCAGCTAGATCAGAGTTCAACATCCCATTTATAAACTGATGCATGATTTCCCTCTCTGTATTTTCGAACTCGCAAACGTCCCCATGATCATATAAACGACGTAAAAAGCTATCACAAGTCTCACCTGATTTCTGAACCATGGAATGAAATGTCTTCTGCTCCTCGATCAGGTTAACTTTGGGCATAAAATAATGGTCGAATTTATCCATAATAGTTTCATACGACTTCTTGTTTTCACTCTCCGCATATACAAATGTCTTGTAAATAGTCTCTGCATTACTTCCCATACAGTATATTAGCGTGTCAATGACATTTGTATCATCTCGAACATCGCCTTCATTTTGACCGCCATCTTGACCCGTCAAATTTGCAGCAGACTTAAATCGCGTGAAACGTGCCTTCCAGTGTCGCCACTCTCTCGGCTTGGTCACGTCGAAGATCTCTGGTGGTTCTAGTTTGTAGGCCATATTATATAATAACTCCAAGCTATTATTTTAACTATGAAATTCCCAAGCCAAGCTATTTTGGCCTAAACGCATGTTCGAAGCTATCTTGTGCTAGAAGCAATTTAAAAGATTAAAAAGGTATCAAATTTCGGCTGGCTACAATTCTCCAACACAGTGGCGTGACCTTACATGACCTTTTAATGTTAATGCTGACAGCTTTATGTTCAATTAGGTAGATAAGTTTAATATGGGAGCTATAGGATGCTTCGATCAACCACATAGCTTGACTTGAAATTTCAATCCCAATCTAGACACCATGAACTGAACTCATAGATCAGTGACTTCTAAGTATCGATTTATTGTTGCATCATATTTGGTCACGTGACATATTTACATAATAATCATAACAACAAAAGCACATGGTACAGTCTGATGAATGCTTACATAATTGTTAAGACTACATATTATGACAATACTCACCTTTACTGCTGTACGCACTACCAATATTATTCAATGAACTCGCTATATCTGGATGAGGATGGTTCCCGTAGATTAACCTCTGCATGGTTTGACTCTCTTCGTAATATTGAATGGCTTTATCATACTCACCTTTACTGCTGTACGCACTACCAATATTATTCAATGAATTCGCTATATGTGGATGATGAGTGTTACCATGTATTTTCCTCTGAATGGCAAGTGCCTCTTCATAACATTTGATCGCCTTATCTAACTCACCTCTCTGTTTATGTGCAATACCAAGGGCATTCAAAGTATCGGCTTTTGAAAGAGGATCTGAGTCTTGATTTTTCTTCAGTATTCCCAAACGTTCATTACTCTGCTTTAAAGATTCCCCATATTTGCCCTGTGACTCATATAAAGAAGCTAGACGTTTTCGAATTGTATCAAGTTTCTCCCTATTCTGATCAACATTTATGGAAAGTTTGTCTTTTTCCCGAGTAAGAGATTGTATTGCTTCTGGAATCATACGCATTTCTTCTTGCAAATAAGCATTCATTTTCTCAGTTGAATATTCATACTTGGACTGATGAGCACATGTCAATATATTACCGAAAGAACATTGATATAACAGAAAATCTGACCACGGAATAAACGTATTGTAAAACCGGAAAATTGCGGTGAAATCCCTTACCAATATCATGTCTGATGGTACCTGTTGTCCAGTATTAGGCGGATGAATGCTAAAAGATATGGTTTCTTGTTGTCTACCATATCTACCATAAACCAGATGCCTCAAGTTGGTCGCAATACATACCATAATTTGTAAATCTATCTTTGCCTTTTCATTTAAAATACTGTTTTTGCACAATTCTTCCAAAATATCCAAAGGAGCAAATGAGACACAGTGGTATAGTAATTTGAGAACATTGATGGATATTGTAGCAAATCTATAAAGAGTGTGCTTAGTGCGAAGTTCCCGATTGAATGATTCCGGCAAAAGAGGAGCTTTGAAATACTTCTTTAAATCTTCCGACAGAGTTGTTTTTCCCCTTGTTTTGCTTATTGACATTTGAGAATTATTATTTGATTCTGAGAAAATATTCTTATGAACCTTCTCATTATAGTCCTTCCAAAGTAATTCATCGCCATGTAAGAACGTGGATGTCAAAAGAACGTCACTAAGATGATTACCCTCCTTGATAGAAACCTCCTCCGACTGACATTCAGCCATTTCCTCTAAAGTCCTGATCAATTCAAATGTAGGACTTTTATTAGGGTCTTTAGTTGACTTCCTCCCGAAAGGTGTTTTACTAGCTTTAGGTTGTGCTCCGTCAAAACATAAACCCTGTGGTGTCACATCATCCCAAAAATCGTTATCTTTCATGTCAATTGGTAGTTTGCTATTGAAATCATTCAACACGGGAATATCTAAACCATTGATACGTGTTTCGCCTAAACTGATAATCTTGAGATGGAGATAATGCGCAAGAACGCGGAAATACTTTTTAAGCTCAATGATTTCCTCATCGGTCTTACCTGCAGGGTCATAAATGATTGCTGATTCAAGATCTGACCAAGCAGTTGCTTCTTTCCTAGCCAGAGATCCGAGACCTAACCAAGCATACCTACAATTTGGATTCCCCAATACCGAAATACAGTCTTTTATCAGAAGCCCGTGAAATTCTATTATTTTACCTGTCAGTTTATCATAGTATTCTTTACTGTGTGATATCGTTTTGATCTCATTGTCACTGCTCATATCAAATGTTTCACCGTCTACCTGCATATAGTCTGTGTGAATGCTATTTACTGTCTTATTTGAATATTCCCTCAGTTCAGCAAGAGCTTTCTTGTACCTCTCCGTGCAGTCGATCGTTGATTCGTTATTCTTTTTGGGAACCACTTGCAGAAAGTCGGTTTCTATGTTTTGAAATGCATCAGTTATCTTAGTTAACAATTCATTGTCATATTCAACAAAGCGATTTTCTCTTTGAAGACGTTTTAGCGCAGCATTGTATAGTGCTGCGGCCCAGGCGAAGTGCCAGCCATCTTTCGTTTCGTTGGCTAATGCTGCATATAGATCAGCCAACTCGACCATCAACTGTGCCTGTTTTGCTAGTTCATCCGGATTCTTTTGGTCGCATGCTGTTATTTGTTTTCCTAACTCGAACATGGCTGAGGTAGCTTCTGTAAGAAAAATATACACGTACATGCATATGTATATTGTGATCCCTAGAGGTATTAATTCGACTTGGCTCTGAGTGATTAAACAAGATATGATACAATGGAGGCCGTTTCTCGAAACTTATCGTTATTAATGAATCGTTAATAGCGAATTGTGGATTCGTTTCGATGGACACTGCAATGTTAATGGAATAACGAGATCCCAATTCGTACACTTATAATCAATCATGGATAACGAATCGTTAGAAATCATGGCGTCATCGCGAATCGTTATCTTTCGAGAAACGGAAAAATCGTTATTAACAAATCGAGAGGTCTTCTTATGTGGTTAAAGGTGTGTTTTAAACGGTTTTTAGAAAAAACTCGACAGTGATAATTTGAGAAAATGTGTTTTCCTGCAATGCTATGATTTTAATTGAAGGATTAGTATTATCTGTGCTAGAGAGAATTCTTTGCAGAATTTTGAGGAGAAATCTAAAATATCCAAAAAGTCCATGGATTTTATGCAATGAGGAATCTCGGAGAAAATATTGAACTTTGATGATGAGTTACTCTAGTAGCTCATGCTGGTTGAGTATGCACTTCTATGTCCAGAGATTTTCTCTTCAGAAATCATCTATGTGAAGGTCATTGATCAATTTTGGCTTGGTAACATATTCGCCACAGAAGGCGAAATAGGTCAAATGGCCACGCCCTTTTTTACGCGAATACTCCCCCCCCCATTTTTGCATCTCCGGAACCGTTGGACATAGAAGGTTGTGTGACCACTCAAAATGTCCGGAATGGCCACATTATAAGGGGGTCAATAATACATATGTATTTAAAAAAGTCAATGGTTCTCAAGATATTTGCCAAAAACTGATTTTAGCATGTTACGCACAACAGTTTTCATCTATCCTGCATCATTTAAGACTGAATCCGCAGCCTCTATCTAGTCAGATCAGTGAAGGAACAAACTATTTTGGTTGTTGAGTTGGCCATAAGTATAAGGTGCTAGTACTGTAAATCAGCGTCTAAGATGTAAAATAATACAATCAAAATTGTATCATAGCTTTTCAATGCTGTAATTAAAAATTGACATAATGTTTGCATTTCAATTCTCCAGGGTACTGAGAGAAATTAATATTTTAGTGGAAAAGATAAAAAAAATGATCTGTTAGATCAAATAATTAATACACTAGTGGCAAATGGGTCTTTTGCTGACAAAGTGGCCTAGTTTATGCCTCAGTTACTTTATTATAATATAACATATTTTGAATTAACATAGTAATTCAGCACTTGACTTGATAGATGTAAGCATGTTACATGGAGTTCTTTATTGTAAATAAAAGTCATTATTTTAAAAAGTATACAAATTTGTAATGTACATGGATATTTAATATGAAAATTATATACATATGCCTGGTACACAGGCCAGGCCCGTAGCCAAGATTTGCCAAGGGGGGTTCACTTTTTGAAAAATTCCAGGGGGGGTTCACTTGTGACAATTTTGGTCCTAATATGGCCAAAATCACTTATAGAGTGCTCGGAAAGGTGAAAAATTGCATGATTTTGAAAGATTTTTTGGCCGGGGGGGGGGGGGGGGGGGGGGGGCTACGGGCCTGCAGGCAAATTACATTGGGTCCTGTACAAGGTTATACAAACCACATTCCCTATATAGGCTCTGTACAACCTTGTACGGGTCTAGTGATGCGTCTCGTACTTGCTCGTAGGAACCCATAACTTTTGACCCACATCCTTTTGCGTGCTTGAATAATAGTTCAATTACGAGCCTCGTACATGCTCGTTCAAACTTGTATGGTGCCCAGTATAAATTACCTTTGTATATACTAATCACAAGATTCTAAGGCATAAAACTTGTAGCAAGGCTGGCACTTGTTGGACTTTCAACTTTTGTTGTGTTAAGGTTTAAATTATCTGAAGCTTTATTTAGTTGAAAGAAGCTATTGAATTGATAGTTGCCTTCGTGCCTTGTATAACATACTGGGGGTCAGTTGAATTTAGGCTTTGCTCTTAGAGTATCATTTGTATTTTATTTATTCAGGCAATGGGATTAAACACAGCACTAGAGATATCAAGGTGAAGTTCAAGCAACTGAACCAAGATGCAAGATTCATGGTGGTTATTAACAGGAAAATTGACCAGACATACTATTGCAACATTGATATAATAATGCCTGATCTTTCATGCCATGTGATCTGATTTTATATAAATTAGTCTGTTCTGTCCGGTAACATTGACCATGTAGTGTTAAAGGAATTGACAATAATTTTAAAATTACCTCCTGTTCAAGTTGCAATTATTTTTATAGATTATATTGATAGATTTAATATCACTGAATATGGAATTGCTTGTTGAGAACCACACAACATTACCATTTATCATTTATTTGAGATTTAAGCAGGGGTCCATTTTTTAAAGAAATAATCATTTTAAAAGATTTCTTGTGAATAGATAATAAATAAGTGCAAAAAGTATGAATTATTATATATCAAGAGCATAATGTAAAATTTCAACTGAAAAGTTAGATCAAAATGGAATCCAAATTCACAGTAGGGGGTATAACTCATCAAACACTGTATAATTTTTTAAAACTTATTGTTACAGCCTTATGTTTTTAATTTGCTTTTGTTAGTTAGGATTATATCATTGACCATTCATGAATTTTTGTGCACCATACAAGGTTACAGAACTTCATTTATGAACGATTTCAGCAGGGGTCTATTTTACGAAAATTAAATATTTTTCCGGATAGTTCTTAGATGGAAAGCTAGTACATTGTTACGATTAAATTGCATCATTAAGGTGTATAAATCATAAAAACAGGTTTCATCCTGATGTCTACAACCTAATTCGTATAAGGCCATGTCAAATGGAGGGGGGGGGGCATTGACCTCCATTTGGGGATCTTTATTACTTATATGATTTCAATATTACAATAATGTCGGTATCATTATAAACAGGCACTAAATAAGTGTAGAGTATTATAAAAACGTTGACAGCAAGAAGATTTATAAAATTGAAACTGTAAAACGAGATAACATTTGGGCTCTAAAATCACAATGATTGGTATTACTAATCAAATGTTTACTTTTTAAGGTTATTATCATATCCTAGCAATTTAAATTGTTTTAAATAGTTATAATTGAATTATTTGCAGTTTCTGAATTTTTCGAATATCTTAAAATGGTTCAGATTTTCATTTATTGAAGATTTAATTCAAGTCAAATTCAAAAAGATGAATATTTTTGTGGATAGTACTCAGATCAATTACTATTATTACCACCTTGCCGGGAATGTTATAGGGGTATTAGTGCTAGTTAAGAAGGCATTTATGTTACTTTATCGATCTGAGCAATATGTGACGTCATAGTGGCGGGCCATAGTTGCGGGCCAATTATGCATTAACGCCCGGCAATTTTCCCCGGGAAATGACATATCTTTCAATGCATATAATTTTTGCTATTTCAGCCCTGGGCATTAACTGTGGTAATACTAATAACCTCATTTCTGCAGGCAATATTAAACAAATACTGGATGATCAGGAGCTTGATATGGCAGAATACCTATTTGAGAAAAAATATTGGGCGAGGCGGTATTTATTAATTTCAATATAGAGCGTTCGGGTTCTAGCATTGCCTCATGGGATAGTCTATTTTCTACTAAATAAAATAATCTATTACTAAAGTTATGTGCTTGCAGAGATAGCCTGTATCGCAAAAATCATATATCCTTTCACCCCACATCATATCATATGCTTTATTGATGTTAAAATCCAATTTTATAAATAGCGCGAATACATTCTTAATTCATCTTAGATTATAATTTGAATGCAAAAGCCGATTCATAAGTAGATAATTCGTTGTAAACTTCAAAAGTGTCAATATCTAATATTTTTTATTATTATGGACCTCTGTTAAACCCCTCAATGATAAGTAAACGATAATGTTGACAGGTCCTCAACAGATGAAAACGTATGTAGGAATATATGTTTTATCATTTAAACATATCATTTAACAATTGGCGGATCAACGATTAAACACGATGATGTTAAAATAAAGTGAACTAAATGGAACCATTATTTTCTATCATTTTGAATGCAAAATATAGTCAGACAGACGATCTTAGTTTCAATTAAACAGATAAAATCAATATGTCATACTAATAAACTTTACAAAAGCCGATAAATGAGGAGATAATCTGTTGTAAACTTCAAAAATATCAAAATCTAATATTTTTGTTGACCCCTGTTAACCCCTCAATGATAAGGAAACGGTAATGTTGACAGGTCCTCAACAGGTGAAAATGTATATAGGAATATATGTTTTATCATTTAAACATCAAAACAATTGCCGGACAAAAAACAAGATGATGTTAAAAGAAAATGAACTGTAAATGGAATCATTGTTTTTAATCATATTGAATGCACAATATAATCAGATAGACGATTTTATTTTCAATTAAACAGATAAGATCAATACGTCATACTAATTAGAAAATGGCAACTTCACGGAGTAGCCCAACGAACACCATATAAATCATCAATCTGTACAGTCACAATGTAATATTTACCATCTACTCTTTCCTTCAATAAATATTTTAGATCATTGTAACCATACTTTAAAGATGACTCTAAGTAATGTCGAATATCTGCTCTAGTCGTATATTTTGAATTTTCAGAGGCACAAATCCGAAAAACACTGCCATCATTGTTATCTACTCTGAAATTCCTTCAATTTGAGTATAATGTAGCCATACTTTTAAGAGATCAGAAATAATTGCAAAATCCCGCATTAGACAGCCATTTTGAATTTTTTGAGGCCCGAATCAGAAAAACGCTACAATATTTGCAATCTACTCTAAATTGCCTTTCATTTGAGTATAATAAAGCTACACTTCAAAAACATCTCAAAATTAATGCAAATGTGTGTTTTCCCAACCCCCCCCCATTTACGGCCCCTGGGGGTCAGGGTGAAAATCCAGGATATATGTGAAATAGATAGATACCGTTGATATACTACCAATATTTTAAATAATAATGTTTCTTATTTTGGTTTAAAATGAAAAACATAAGATTTTTTCGAAAAATTCCCGCGATTTTTAAACTGGCGGCCATCTTGAAATTTTTTTTGCGTATAACTATTCACCAATATACATCTTTCCACCAAATATGAAGAAAATCTGTGTACTAGTATTCAAGTTATCTTCCGGACAGACGGACGGATGGACTGACTGTCTGACTGACTGACGGACGGAGGCCTTCACTCTATCCCTACTGAACTTCGTTCGATGGGATAATAAACTTTCCAAAAGCCGATTAATGGGTAGATAATCTGTTGTAAACTTCAAAAATATCAAAATCTAATATTTTTGTTGACCCCTGTTAAACCCCTCAATAATAAGTAAACGGTAATGTTGACAGGTCCTCAACAGGTGAAAATGTATGTAGTAATATATGTTTTATCATTTAAACATATCAAAACAATTGAATTGGCGGATCAACAAAAAACAAGATGATGTTAAAAGAAAGTGAACTAAATGGAACCATTATTTTTAATCATTTTGAATGTAAAATATAATCAGACAAACAATCTTATTTTCAATTAAACAGATGAAATCAATAGGTCATCCTGATAAGTTTCCCAAAAACCGATTCATCCGTTGTAAACTTCAAGAATATCAAAATCTAATATTTTTTATTTTTGTGGACCCCTGTCAAACCCCTCAATATAAAGTAAATGGTAATGTTGACAAGTGCTCAACATGTGAAAACGTATGTAGGAATATATGTTTTATCATTTAGATATATCAAAACATTGGCGGATCAACAAAAAACAAGATGATGTTAAAAGAAAGTGAACTTAATGGAACAATTATTTTTAATCATTTTGAATGCAAAATATAATCAGACAGACGATCTTATTTTCAATTAAACAGATAAAATCAATATGTCATGCTAATAATCTTCCCAAAATCCGATTCATAAGTATATAAACCGTTGTAAACTTCAAGAATATCAAAATCTAATATTTTAAAATTTTTGTGGACCCCTGTTAAACCCCTCAATAATAAGTAAATGGTAATGTTGACAAGTGCTCAACAAGTGAAAACGTATGCAGGAATATATGTTTCATCATTTGAACTCATCAAAACAATTGCAGGATGAACAGGAGGAAACAGCTTAATTAAGGCTTATCTGAAAAATTCCTCTATCCCTAATGTAATCATACAAACTTGACAGTGACATAGTTTACATATCCTAATATTTACAGTGTCATCTGAAGTCGAGGAATGTTAATGTTTGGGGTGTATTGAGAGTACCTCCCATATATCCGATTCCCCCATTGGGGTGTATTGAGAGTACCTCCCATATATCCAATTCTCCCATTGGGATGTATTGAGAGTACCTCCCATATATCCAAATCCCCCATATTGAGAGTACCTCCCATATATTGGGGTGTATTGAGAGTACCTCCCATATATCCAATTCCCCCATCGGGGTGTATTGAGAGTACCTCCCATATATCCAATTCTCCCATTGGGATGTATTGAGAGTACCTCCCATATATCCAAATCCCCCATATTGAGAGTACCTCCCATATATTGGGGTGTATTGAGAGTACCTCCCATATATCCAATTCCCCCATTGGGGTGTATTGAGAGTACCTCCCATATATCCAATTCCCCCATTGGGATGTATTGAGAGTACCTCCCATATATCCAAATCCCCCATCGGGGTGTATTGAGAGTACCTCCCATATATCCAATTCCCCCATTGGGGTGTATTGAGAGTACCTCCCATATATCCAAATCCCCCATATTGAGAGTACCTCCCATATATTGGGGTGTATTGAGAGTACCTCCCATATATCCAATTCCCCCATTCCATATCATGTTATCTTTGTCTTTTTTGTATATAATCAAACTAATGTACACAACATTTAAACGAGCAACATTACAAACATGTTTAGTCCTTTGGGTTTTATACCAATATTTGTTGGACATTCGGGTATATCTGCCAGCAGGAATATCATACTTTACCAAGGAGAAAATAGTGGAGTTTTCATTCTAAAATCAGTTTTTGGTAAATATCTTGAGAACCATTGACTTTTTTAAATACATATGTATTATTGACCCCCTATAATGTGGCCATTCCGGACATTTTGAGTGGTCACACAACCTTCTATGTTCAACGGTTCCGGAGATACAAAAGGGGGGGGGGGAGTATTCGCGTAAAAAAGGGCGTGGCCATTTGACCTATTTCGCCTTCTGTGGCAAATATGTTACCAAGCCAAAATTGATCAATGACCTTCACATAGATGATTTCTGAAGAGAAAATCTCTGGACATAGAAGTGCATACTCAACCAGCATGAGCTACTAGAGTAAGTGTTTGATTGATGTATTGAAATATACAGTATACTATCACGCCCGGTGATCGTAGAATTGGGACGGAGGGGGTAGCAGGCAATTTCTGCTAGAAATTTCAACAAATCTGGAAGATTTATTTTTTGAAGAAGAAGTTTACTATTGAATTGCTAAATAAATAGGCTCACGGTATTGTAAAATATGTTAGGTATTCTAGGATTTTTTTTCAACCGATACTCTTTTAGGGTATAAGATCTATTAAAAAAGGCGCAACGCACCAACGTGCAAAAGTCAATCTTGTTGCTATAAATGAAGCAACAATGGTGTACATGACCTGTAATAAATACTTGTAAGTGACATTATCGTCACAAAATTGATGTTATTGCTGACTTTGCAAAATAAGTTTCCATAGGTGAAATAAAAAATAATCGAAAATAATTTTGGGACGGAGGGGGGAGCAATATGTATTAAGACATGATACATATTGCTCCCCCCCTCCGTCCCATAATTATTTTCGATTATTTTTTATTTTACGTGTTGAAACTTATTTTATAAATTCAGCAATGGCATTAATTTAGTTATGATATCGTCACTTACAAGTATTTAATACAGGTCGTGTAGACAATTGTTGCTTGATTTATAGCTAAAACGTTGATTTGTGTCTGTTGGTTGCCTCACGCCTTTTTTAATAGATCTCATATCTTAGATGCCTATTGTTTCAGAAAACATCCCAGAAGACCTAACATATTTTACCATACCGTGCGCCTATCAATTCAGCAATTTAATAGTAAACTTTTTCTTGAAAAAATAAATCTCTCAGATTTGTTGAATTTTCTTGCAGAAATTGCCTGCTCCCGCCTTCCGTCCCATTTTCACGATCACCGGGTGTGCTATAGTGCATGCAAAGTATTGAAAATGATAATGGACAAAGGCCCCATGCAAAGTTAAAATTATTGTTCAATTATTCAAATATTATTTTATGACTTAAAAATTGTCAGAAACATTTTTTCAAAAAATCATTTGCGTTTCAAGCCATTTAACAACAATGATTTACATTTTAGACCATCAATACAATGCTAAAACACTGTATAATATATCATATTCTTTACCAATTCGAATAGATTAATTAAGTAAGCTTGACATTCTTTCAACTATTTTTTTATGACATTTTATAGCATTTTTGAAATTTTGTGGAGCCATTAGGATTCATTGCGTAGGCTACGAAACTGAGCTCATATATCTAATTTGTTAAACGCATCGATTTAACATCGAAGAACATCTCCGATTTCCAAGGTACTGAAACCTTATGAAACAAGATGTAAGAAGAAAACTATGCAAGTTTTTTTGTTTATGATGTCTGCAAATGTGACCGAGGTATAGATGACGATAACAAAAGTGTTTTTGATTATTTGTCTCAATTCGTTTACCCCTATTAGAGTCATCCTGTATGACGTCATTGTTTGGACCTTTCTTTTTCTCAGCTTTCATTGTCTTCTCTTCTCTTTTCACTAGTGTGTTTAGAAGACTCTCCAGTTGCAAGACGCCTTAAATGCAAAATCAAGTCAGTGAATATAATTGTCGGATTGAAGATCTGACACATATAAAAGCTAATTGAGCAGAATGTCAACCGAGATAAATACTCTGAACAATGTGGAATCGTTTCCTCCAAAACTAAAATATTTCCTCAAAATAACATGTTCCTTTTATGTATATATTTCAAAGCGTTACTTTAACATGAAAAGATATGTGAAAATGAAATATTCCTCAGTTCAACTAATACAGGGTGAGCCGAAAAGGTAACCCAAAAAATCTCAATAACTCAGGCACCAAGCATGGGATTAAGGTCATATCTGGTACAATTAAATTGATGTGTAAAATGGCCATAAACTCGTTACCATTGCATATAGAAAAATTGTACTTAGGAGAATGAAAAAATATTAAATAAGGTTTAACTATCCAGAATGTCTGAGTTATCAAGGTTTGTTTGAATAACATTTATTTTGGCTAACCCTGTACAAGAATTACTTAATCCAAAGAAGGGTATAAGGAATTTACCTTTGATTAAATTGCAATTTTGCATGCGCATTTACAACAAATATGAAGCAAATGCGTTTGAAATTCTGAGAATGTATTAGCTATAATATGATTTTCAAATGCCTGTTCCGAGTAGAACTATGAACTTCCATGCTGTTTCGAGACTATAAGAGCTTATTCGTATCAAGGCTAAAAAAACTACTAATATTACACAGGGAGATATGCCGAGTACAAAAATAGTACTCATGGCATATTAGCGCTCATTGAGTACTCATTTCAGCATGAGTACTAATTTATTGCATGTTTTAGTACTAAATTAGTACTCATGTGATGAGTGATAAAGTAGCAGTAAGTTCCTTGATTTTTAGCGCTTAATGAGTACTCATATAATGAGTGATACAATTGTACTAAAAAATTGATTTTCAGCACTAAATGAGTACTAATATCATGAATTAGTACTAAATTAGCACTCATGACATGAGTGCTTATGAGTGCACTTTTGCACTTTTAGGACTAATTTTGTACTAATTGAGTAATCAGCATATATCTCCCTGTGTAGATGTACGTTATGTGGATCTTACCATCTTCCTTGGTTACATCATCACACGAGACAGCTTGTCTAGTGTCAGCAAACGGCAGCTGACAGAGCTGCTTGAATATTTCCAATTCCTTCAGTAAAGATTCTCTAACTACAAAATGGATATATGTAATAAATGAAGGGTGAATACATTGATATCAGCAGGAATACCTGTGTAAAGAATATGAATGCAATGAATAAAAGTCCATACAATAATTCTTAAAACACAATTGTTTCGAAAAATTCACAGGGACATATGTGCGTCCCACAAATAGATTTAGGAAATCCTCAATTCCAAATCTAAATAAAGAACATCTCCTAATACGTGTTTGGAAATATGTTATCTAGTGCCATCAATTGATGATATATCGTAATGCAATCCATAATCAAATCCTAAAATGCCATTTGAGTTCGAAGCGAATCAATTTTCATTGATGAAAATTGATTCCTATATTGGAGGAATTTAATTGAGGATTTCGGTCAAAATTTTATAAATTCGCATGATTTTGAATTGAACAGATTTTTCTGGAAATATAATTTCGGGAATCATACCACCCTATGCAGACAGAGCCTGTGGGAAATATTGGGTGCGGAGCAAATGAGCGGAGGGTGCGGAGCTAACGGTCATTTTTGAATTTAAATTTGGGATATTTCTGAAACTAAGCCGTTTTCGGACTTCAAATATACCAAGATATGTGTATTTGACACCAAATATCAATACAATTGTGAAAATAGTAGCGCAATTCATTCTATAGCGACGCAGTGTGCCTTAAATATTTCCCAGACCTATATATTTTGAAATTATCCTGTTAATACTGAGTCCCCAGCATTCATAAAAAATGGTGTTCAAGGTACACTATCTATACAAATTATTTTTGCATCTTGGAAGCCAGGCAGTATCTGTGTGATTTTATAAAAATTCGGAAATGTTCTTCAGATATGAGCCCCCTCTAAATATTGGGTGCGGAGCTACGTTTATGGAACGTAGCTCCGCACCCAATATTTAGAGGGGGCTCATATCTGAAGAACATTTCCGAATTTTTATAAAATCACACAGATACTGCCTGGCTTCCAAGATGCAAAAATAATTTGCATGGGTAGTGTATCTTGAACACCATTTTTTATGAATGCTGGGGACGCAGTATTAAAAGGATAGTCTCAAAATATATAGGTCTGGGAAATATTTAAGGCATACTGCGTCGCTATAAAATGAATTGCACTACTATTTTCACAATTTTATTGATATTTGGTGTCAAATACACATATCTTGGTATATTTGAAGTCCCAAAACGGCTTAGTTTCAGAAATATCCCAATTTTAAATTCAAAAATGACCGTTAGCTCCGCACCCTCCGCTCATTTGCGCCGCACCCAATATTTCCCACAGGCTCTGTCTGCATAGGGTGTATACGACTATTTATAGAATTTTACTTTAATATGGACTTCAATCGAATCTGGAATGAGTGACCTTGGGTGAATTGTGGTTTATGTAACGGAACGGAATGAAGTTATTGCAGAGTGGCTGGAATCGGACACACCTCGCTTAGATATTGTAACAAATTTTTAACTTTTCAAAGTTTTATTTTTTTCATTTTTGGAGTCCAGTACCGTTTTCTAGTAGTTCAGCCAGTTTAGACAGTAGGAAAGAGTTTCCCAGTCACCGTTGATAGCTTTTATACTTACATTAATGTAGGGAACACTTTAGGTGTACTGGGAATCGTGTAAACTACTCTTTTCTGGGAGATTTATTTTGCTTTCGTTTGTGTGCATTTTCTCACCTCCTATTAGAGAACTCTGTTGCCCTACATTCAATTACTCGTTTTTCCTTGCAATTTCCCCATAATTAGAACCAATGATGATTGGTTTTTGTTATATTTATGTAGTTTATATCTTAATCTAGCTAGTTAATTATAAGATATGTGTTCGTTTTGTGTTAAACAGCAGAGATCGTGATTGCTAGGTGAAGTCAATTATTTTGCAAAAGTTATGTCATCATTGCATCATGGTTATTTATTATGCACTAGTGATGTCCTGGCTGGGATTCTAGTGACTGGCCAGGTATTGCATCAGCCCATTAATCACGTGATAGTTTCGTGTGCAAAACACATGTTACATACATGTCTGGGGTATAAAAGCAGCGCACCACAGGATCTGACAGACCATTTTTACTGACTTACGACCGACGGGACTGTGTGGCATTGACAACTGAATTGATGAAATTTTACAAGTTCTCTAGAGAACTTTGAACATTTTACAACTCTGAAGGACTTATGGGATTTCGACTCGGCCTCTACAGAACTTTGAATATTTTACCACTCTGAAGAACTTAGGGGATTTCGACTCAGCTTCTAGAGAACTTTGAATATTTCACAACTCTGAAGAACTTAGGGGATTTCGACTTGGCCTCCTAGAAGAACTTGGGATATTGTACAACTGAAGAACTTTGGGGATTGCCACTTTGCCTCCCGGAAGTACTTTGATGTTCAACAACTCTACAGAACTTAGCGAATATCTTATACTTGGATTGACGGTCTGAGGAACTTGTGTAAATTCGCTCTTGAGGAAGTTGATGACAAACAAGTCTACAGAACTTAAGCAAATATCTTATACTTAGATTGACAGTCTGAGGAACTTGTGTAAATTCGCTCTTGAGGAAGTCTGATGACAAACAAGTCTAGAGAACTTAGCGAATATCTTATACTTGGATTGACAGTCTGAGGAACTCGTGTAAATTCGCTCTTGAGGAAGTCTGACGACAAACAACTCTAGAGAACTTAGTGAATATCTTATACTTGGATTGACAGATTGAGGAACTTGTGTAAATTCGCTCTTGAGGAAGTTTGATGACAAAGAAGTCTACAGAACTTAGCGAATATCTTATACTTGGATTGACAGTCTGAGAACAGGATCTTAAAAGGTTCTGGACAAATCATTTGATTCTGGACTTGACATATTTTTTTTCCAACGAAATCACATCCAAGGGTTGAATTTTTATTGGATATTTAGAGAGCGAGTCCTGTATTGATTTCAATAAAAAGGTTAAAATAGAACGCTATTTGAGAGTTAATCTTATACTTTCATTACATTGATAAATTAAGGCAAATTCTGAAAAATGTTAAAGTGCATTTTTTATGAAATATTATCCAAGTATTTAGATGAAACGGTCTTATTTAAATACAAATCATAACATGATGATATTTTTTCATAAAATATTTCTTCAAGAAATTCAATTGAAGGCTCAAAATAAAACGAGCTAATTTAGGTGAAAACCCTTACATGATGATGTGTTTTCATGACTTCTTTCATAAAATTCCATCAAGGGGTGAAAATAAAATGATCGAATTTAAGTGATTTAAGGATCACGAGGATAGGTTTTCTTGGATATTTTCTATGAAATCCCATCCAGTGGTAAAGGTAAAATTTTTATTTGGTATATTTGGTCACGTGTTCGAACCCATAGAACCATATAGGAACGTCATTTTGAATGTTACGTGATAAATCCATATAAGGCTTTTAGAACAATGTGGGGAAAGATGAGGGGAAACCCCTGACACCTGTTCACGATTTTATCCGAACGTTCATCGGATCATTTCGGTTTTTATGCACTTCATTATTTTACCGAAGTTTGCCGATTCGATTCGTCGTATTTCGGAATATTGGGGACAATTTTATACTCCATAGGGAGTATTTTGAATCTACTTCTTATTACGAAGATTCCCGAACCTTGTTCGGATTAATCCGGATTTTCTGACTTACTTCATCTACCGAGATTTAACGAGTTTACATTCGGCTCATTTCGGAATCCTGGTGACAATTTTATACTCCATTGGAGTATTTTTGATCTACTTCTCTGGATTTTTGATCTACTTCTTATGACGAAGATTCCCGAATCAGTTCGGATTAATCCGGATTTTCTGACCTACTTTATCTACCGAGATTTAACGAGTTAACATTCGTCTCATTTCGGAATCCTGGTGACAATTTTATACTCCATTGGAGTATTTTTGATCTACTTTTTCTGGATTTTGCCCTACTTATTATAAGTTGACAGCAAGCAAATCAAAAAGTTCGCCATGAACGGGTTTCGATCGACTAACCTAGAGAGTGGAAGCTAAACACGCTAGCCATGAGGCTAACGTTCACCTGTGTGAGATGATAAAAGTATCATATATTTATACCGAGCGTCAATTTAGAATGATCTTCGCTTTTGACTCCACTTAGATACAACTCGTCAGTTGTATCCAGAATAGGTGAACGCCTATGGTGTTAGTGAATAACCAAATCCCAGGCGAGTGGTTCGTATCCCACCGTGATATGTTATTTTTGCTTTATTAATACGACAGAAAGGAGCAAGGTGTAGGTTTGAAAACAAGACGTACGTTTATTTCAATACAGTTTTAGAAACATTAACCTCTGATAATTGAAGGATTTCCACTTCTGAAGCGCGACTAGATCTAAGAAGTTCATTAATCAAGACAGTGTTAACCTTTTAGATATATGTTAGACAATGTACACGCTGTGTGGAATCAACTAAATGTAACATTTTGGATTTCATTGAGATCCTGTCATAGTCCTAAAATTTATTTTTCTGGAACATCATTTTTTCAACACTGATACAAATTTCCCTGACATTTCCATGACATGTCTACAGTTTCAAAATTCCCGGACTCTTTGGCCCTTTTTGACCTTATTTTAAAATTCTCTGACATTTCAGGCACTTGGAAAATTAAATCAAAACCCTGACATTTCCAGGTGTGTACGAACGCTGGAATTATTCTTAAAATATCCTTCAAACAAAAGGGGAAAATGCTATGCACAAATACTCTAATTTAGTTTGTATTGTAATGCGTTGTATTACATTGCATTGCATTGTATTGTGTATTTATTTGAGTGTCCGTTGACGGTAAAGAAGGCATTTAAAAGTTATTTGTGAAACTTAATAAACTTAATAAACAATACTTTAACAGTATTCTGTTATGGCAAAGTATATTTCATTTTTTCTCTTGTTCTCTACAATCTGCGTTGAGGACACTGAAGCATATGTCTGTATTTTGTTGGTGGGGAACAGCGTATCCTATCGTTCACGGAGCAAATTCAACTCTCGTTCACGAGT